CAAGGCTGGCAGGCATTTGTAATGCTGTTTCCTCTTACACACACACACACACACACACACTCCCTCTCTCTCTCTCGCTCTCTCTCTACACACCTGCATCGTAGTCTTGATACTTTTCTGTAAATTACCAATGTCGACACGGCGATAAGGCGAGCCAAAGGAGGCGATGCGAGACGCTCACATCCTGCAGGTAACTATGCAGCACCGAGCCGAATTGCTGCCGTCCGTACGGTGCGAGGCAGTTGAACGTGGCCAAAACGAAGGAAATGTTTCGTAATGGCAGACATTGCAGCTCCAAATGGTTTTCTGTTTGCTAAATTATATCTTTAATTAAATGCTTTTAATTTTAATGTTGTCAAGCATTAAAAATCACTGAAACGTGCCGCAAAAAAAAGTTATATATATGCAGCAAATTATTTGATATTGCGAATCCACTTAACTTTAAATAGAAATCAATATTTTATTAATTTAGTTGCGTTGTTCACTTTTCACTTTTTAGCTGCTCAAAGCACTAAGCGCCTATGTATGCAGGTATTATCTGTCTGGACCACATTGTCATCTATTATTAACGGTCGCATTGCAATCGCAAAACCACCAACAAATTAAATATTTATAATTATTTTTGTAAATCGGTTTTTCTATCTGCATCGACATGATTAATATTACATATATAAATAAACCACAATTTTTTGTATTATTTTTATCTTAAATGCAATTTTCTATGAAACTCAAATGATTATTTAATTCACTTTGCACTCGTGCACACTCCATTTATTTAATTCGTTTTATTTATCAGAAAATCAAGATTAGCAGCTTCTAAAAAAATTCAAATCCTTCCACATATAGAAGTAAAATTAAAGTGTGTGTTGCATTAAAAGCCAATTACAAAAAAAAAAATAGTTGAGTAGAAATGCGGTTCTAATTAAATATTTTAAATTTGAAATGTGCGATAATGGGCGTGGATTTCATATTAAAATATTTTGAGCAAACAAATTAAAATTCAGCCATTTCAACCTTAAAAGCAATGCAAACAAATTGATATATACATACATAGATGTGTATATTTATATATATTGCCATAAATTTGAATATTTAGAGTAGTTCAAAGAAGCAAAACAAAGTTGAAATTGTGTATTAGAATATATGCAACGCTGAATGCAACTAAATTGAGTCGAAAATCGAAATTAAAAACTATTGAATGGCATTTCTAAAGCTCGTCCCGTCTGTGTCCTCTGTCTATTCCATTTGACTCATTTTTAATTTAGCCATTTTTTTTTTTTTTTGTTGCAGCTCATTGTTGAATACAGAGCGTAAATCCTTTTGTTTCGACCGTGCACGCTCTACAACAATTAAATGCAACCAATTGCATTGCAGGCTGCGCTCTGGCCTCACGGCGTGAGATCAAACAAAACTCTGCCCATGGGCGGCACGGCTCTTGTTTGGGATCAGAGCTGGGTGACACACAAAACGGGCGTTCATTTATTCATATCCGATTGGCTTTGGCAATCAATGGACTAGTGCGTCCCGTGCAGTTCGTTTCCATCGCTGTCAGAGATTTTCCGCAGCAAATCAATGCACATGCGGTTGCTGTGGGTGCCTACAACGATGCGTGTGGGTGGGTGTGTGTGTGTGTGTGTGTGTGTGTGGCTGTACCAAACGTGATTGAAACGAACAAAATCAATGCGAATTATTTGGTTTTCCAATTCGTTACACTTCACTACTGCGTTCAGTTAATTAATGGTCACATTTTTTTTGTATTGCTCCTCCATGGGATATCATCGAATTTTTGTTTGTTTTTTTCTGTTTTCCGTTTTTTGGTTTCGGCTGGCCATCTAAACCCGGGCTATCCGTCTGATCTTTTAATTGTTTTATATGAAAAACTCAATTCAAATAACAATAGTTCATCAAGTAGCCGCAAGCAGAATTTATTTTAGGCCACCGCAGCAGCCGCATGGGCCCTATGTAGCCAACAAAACCGCCAATTTGCCAGTGTGGCTGCAGTTATAACTACGCCCACAAATAAGCCCACTGACACACACACACACACACACGGGCAGAGATATACCAATGATTATCAATATCAAAATATAACGCTTGATTCAATTGCTAGCTGAACCACACACACACACACAAGTACACAGCATATATATGTGCATGTGTTGCAGGACATTTTAAGGTGCTTGTAAAACACGAGCCATGAAAATAACCCAAGCTTATCGCTCTTTAATTTCTCTATATAATATAAAGCAGCTGCAAATCCCTCCGCTTGCCACATTTCTGCAGCCCTGAGAATCACACTTGGAGCGACGTAAATAAAAATTTATGACCACAAAAGTATGCTACAAAATATGCGCATAAAATGATTATGACGATTATGTTGTAGCTGCTGCTTGTGTTGATATTACACCAAATATCAGGCAACAACACACACATGCAATACTAAACGGTCACACACACACGCAAACACACACAGACACATGCATGTATATATTTATTGACACAAATTGCTTTTCAGAGCTCAGCTCTCATGCCATTTGCCTGTCTGCTTGGATCTGTGTGTGTTTGTGTGTGGTGGAGCTCCTTCTTCTTCTCCTTTTTCTTGCTCTCTTTTTATTAAAGCAATAATAAAATATTCATAAAGATTTCGTTTACGCAGCAATGACAACATTTTACCGCCCATTTTACAATAATGCCTATAAATACGTTAGACCCGCCCGCATCGAATAGATATATATACATATATATCTATTTAATCATACTATTTAGACCACCCACAGCACCACCCGACCACAGCAATTCGACAGTTTATTAGCGCATGGCATGCATGAGCTATGTGGGTAACTGAGCATTTTAAAATGCTTCAGCGCGTGTCTCTGTGTGTAACTGCGATATGTTCATTTAAATGGCGGCCACAACAAGCTGTGGCCCGCAATCATGTCAAGAATTCAATATCAAAATACGCGCACAGCTGTCGCTGATGACATCGAGTAACGCACGGGAACCAACAGCCCCCCGGCACCCGGAACCCAAAGCCCAAAAACGCCCCTCTTTGAGGTCCTATTGATGAACTGGCTTTCAGCCAAAGGCGCTGCTGGGCGAGGGGCGTAAGGAACTTCTCGCGTTTTGATTACAAATATGACGCACGAAACATACTCAAGCATACCAGTCGAAGTATTAGGCACAGTGCATTATAAATAGCTTATTATTGTTTAATATATATAAATGTGTATAAATATTTAGTAGTTTATTTACACGTACCTAAGGTAAGTCATGATATGCATATTTTATATATTTTAATTATTATAACATTGTATATTATAATTTTTTATTTTTGTAAGATATATTTAATTTCCTACAGAAGTTGACGTACAGCTGCCATCAGTATAGTATTATTGTGTAATACTGTAAATATTTGTAAATAAGTATTGTTGCGAAAGCTAGTAAGTAAGCCGCAAATAAGCAGAAATATAAGATAATAAGCTCCGAAAAAAATAAATAAATAAAATAAAAAAAAAAAATAAATTAAAATTAAAATTAATTTCAATATACATGATAAATTTATTTATTTTGAAAGAGAATTAAATTGACCGCACCCATTGCTTAGATTTATATAATTTTTTTAAGAGTTTATTATGGCTAGTAATTAAGTATTGCTACAATTAAAGTTTAAATAAATTATTGTCCTACGGTTTCATATAGAGGAACAGTATACACATGAGTTCCTTGCTTCGTTGATAATTAAAAATTAAGCATAAGCAATACTTAGTAACTTAATAGTAACATTGAGTTTCGTAAAATTCTTCAAGAAAAATAAGTATTTCCTGTCTTTATCCTTTCCATAAACCTCTGCAGTTAAAGCGCATAATTTTTGCCCCACTGTGCAACGACAACTGTGTGTGTGTGTGTGTGTTTGTGGAATGCATTTAATAGTGTTTTCAACCGAATCAACACACACACTCCGATGCACCCAGCCACACCCACTCATATAGTCAATCATAGAAACTGCAATGTTGCTCAACAACAAGTTAAGTCATTCAGGCCAAATGGCGCACATATATAAGAAATCAATTGGTTCGCCATAAGATGACAGTTGATTATTTTATCTCTTGACTGACAGAACTTAGAGCGCCGTTAAGAAAATCCATTAGTTTAATTACCCGGCAGGCAACCAAGGCAACTGCAACTGCAACGGCAACGGCAACGGCAACGGCGACTGCAACAAATTGCGACTATCAACATATTCGATGTGATTTCCGTTGTGGCGGCAGCAGCAGCTGCTGCATCTGATTACTTAATGCATTTGCACATTTGGCCACAAAACAGCGAGAAAGCAGAAAGTTGACATGTTGCCATCGCTCCCCAGTCTGCTGGCTCGATTATTCTGGAGCCCCAGCTTGGTTTTAATTAGTGCACACGAGTGGCCCGCATCGAAGGCTCCAGCTGCCAGCTACCTATATTCTATTGGCCAATTCATTGCAGATGCCTCAATTGCAAGTCCCAACCGGAGCCGGAAACCGACTACGGTTCTCGTTGTGGGCGGCCCTGGGACAGATTGTGTGTCATTAACTTGATGCAGCGGCCCAAATAGATGGCCAACAAATGGGGCGGCCACCCACAATAGTAAGTGTGACTGACTGCTGCCAATCGACTGTGTGCGTGTGTGTGTGTGTGTTTGTATGCTTGCGCATGTATTAGTGTGTGTGGGTGTGTGCGGTTACAATTGCCTGGCTGAGATGAGAAATTAACCTTTGTTGCCGACTTGGCCGGCCAGGCTGGGCCGGAAGTTTGACCCAAGCTGAAAAGAGAGCTTTTGCGGTCGATGTTGCACAGCGACGCTAATGGCGCTTGAATAATTGAAAACGAGTGAAACACATGCTTGGTTGGTTTCGGCAAACACACATAAATATACTTGGATGCTTTAATTTGATAACCACAAAAATTTGCATATAACGCACACTAATAGACATACATATACACACATATTTAACGCAAGATAAACATTCTATTTAACACTAAATATATATTTGCAACATCTAATATAATGAAATCGGAAAAACCAGTTCAATTTAGCCTCATACCCTCTCTATTTCTTGGCACTATCAGTAGCCGCAGTCTGTATTTCGTCTCCATAATAGACAACTATGTTGTCCTTCCCCTCTTCCAGTTCTCGTTGTCCATTGCTAATTAGTTCCTGTAACTCGTCTTCCCAACCAAGCGCTTCGGCCAAGGCCCAGACACCGGCATCACAATCCCCAAGGAAAGCCACGTCACGCGTATTCTTAGCCTCGCCGTAGAGCAGTGCCTCGCCGTTGGCGTCCATCCAGGGCGCGAAGCTGGCACGTCCAACCGCATCCCGGTTAATCAACAGGCGAATGCAGCGCGGACCAGCCCGGTGGATTAATGAGGCAAACGGTTGCATTTCCAAAGATGTGCCCATGATGATAAGCAAATCGCACTCCTTGAAGTCCTCGTCGGGACTGGAGTAAAAGATATCTGGCAGATTTTCGCCAATAAAAACAATGTCCGGCTTCACCAGGCCCTTGCACTGCTCACAAATGGGCAGATGATCCGAAAAAATCTTCTTCTTCATCCAGGCCATATCGTAGAGCTGCTTACAGTTGAGACAATGATTCGTATTAAAGCTGCCAATTGCCTCAATGAGCTTCTCCTCCGGGACGCCAGCCAGACGCTCCAGCATATCGATGTTCTGAGTATAGTGACGCTGTAGCACGCCCTTCTCGTGCAACAGGCGGATAAAGTAATGTGCCGGAGTTGGCACAAATGACCCCGGATACAGTTCCTTGGCCAGTTCGAAGAATGGGGCCGGATTTCTCTGGAAGTTCTCCACGTCAAATATGGCCGTTGGGTGAGGCAACTTGTGCTGCTTTTTGTTGCTGTACAGACCGTAGCCAGGCGAACGAAAGTCAGGAATACCCGCAGCTAAAGAACTTTTCATATTTGTACAAAAATTAACACTTGCAAAATAAACATTCAATGAAATGTCAACTCACAAGTGGATATACCAGCACCCACCATAGTTATAATCTTCTTAAAGCCCTTTTCGCGCCAGTGTATCGATAGGCCCTCGAAGGTAAGTTCCGGAATTACCTGTAGCAAGGATGTGGATAAGTAATTTATACATCAAACTTCAATCACTCACCTTGTCCACAGTTGGGGCTTCGTTGTCCGAGGTCAAACTGAAAGTCTGTGAAAAGAATCGGCGAATCATGTCCACGGTGCCATCTGAAAATGAATTATCTGACAACAAATTCAACAATTAGTTGAATCGCTCAAAACCTTCTTCGCCTTGACTGCCAGAATCTGTATCTGTTGCTGTCGCTGCTGACTTCGACGTCGGCGTACACAACAACGTCGACGGCTTGGTGGGCAGCCCGTCCTGTTTAGCACTTTTCCCTTCGTTCTCGTCGCTGTCACTCATTCTACTTCAGTTCTCACTCAAGCTATACTTAATGGCAATCTAATATACTTAATAAAACAAATTAAAAAGAATTTGCACTCTAATAATATTTTGATTTGATGTGCGTTGTACGAATATTTTTCTTATCCTTCTACGAAAATTTCAAGGCCAGGGACATGGCGATGCCAGACTGTATTGTGCACATGCACGGCAAAGCTGCCTGATATAAAACTAGCAATATTTATATCGATACATCGAACGGTTGGGAGAGTGGCGGTTAACCAAATTAAATTTGATTTTTAGCGGAAAAACAAAACAACCGATAATTAAATTTGAAATGCTTTTATTACATACATATATGTATAAAAAATTAAAAGAAAAACAACCAAAGACAAATAATACAATTTATGTTGTGCCAACCGTTCGTCCGTCAAGAGAAACAACAAGTTTTATATAGATTTATTGTGTTTAAAAAAAGTGAGCATCATTTATAAAGAGAAAACATTTGCATTATTTACATTACGATTGAACAACTGAAGATGTATGTTAGGCTAGCACCAGGAAGCAAGCATTGCTCCCAACTTCGCTTTCAATGCTGTTCAATCCGTTGACCTTCGTTGTGCTCCAGTGCCCAGAGCTCATTGTATGCGCACATTGAGCGGATTGAGTATGCGGCCCGACATGACGGCCACGTCTAAGTCGCGATCGATGATGAAAAACAGAAACGGATGATTCACAGAGATCTGTATGGGCTTCGTTTGGGCGCCAGTGTTGCCTGAGCAAAAAGGGAAATAGTTATTGCACATTTATCTTGCCACTGCTGCTGCTATTGCTGCTGTTGCTGCCGCTGCTGCTGGTATTGTTGCAATCCAAGTTGCAGGTGGGGCTGCTGGCTAACACCTCAGTGCGTTGCGCCTCAATGCGTCGAGGTGTGGGCTGCAATGTTGCAACAGAGCAATGCAACAGCTACTTACGTTTGAGCTGATTGATCGGATGCGTTCGGATGTTGACATCGATCGATTGCTCAATGTGTCGCACATAGACGCCCTTCTCCTCAGTCATGGGTCGAAAGTCGGCGCGGTTCGGCTCGAAGATATCACAGCTAAAAATGGATTACAACAAAAGAAAAGTAAAAGTGCTTCCAGCATTTATAAATATACAGATGCTGCCCTGCCTGCTTACATGCCCATCTGTAAATGGAAATAAATTAATAAATACATTCACTTAAGGATCTCCTCTAGCTGCTTACATTCTGCAGATCGTTGGTCAGGAACATGGTGCCGTGCAGCTTGAAGTCGGGTATGATGGCCTGCACCCAGCGTGGCTTCAGCTGCTTGCGCATCAGCCGCAGCGTGGGCCCCAGCTTCAGCGAGGCAGCTGCGGCCACAATGTCCATGTGGTAGTCGGGCAGCAAGATCATCAAATTGTACTCGGGCGTGTCCAGCTCCAGCTCCAGCACGCTCATCTTGAGATGCTCAAAGTACTTGTAGTAGAGCACCGCATTGTACACCTTAAATGTGGTGTGCACCACCTGCTGGCTGCCCAGGTAGAACACATGGCTGATCACATCCGTATTGTAGTTGGTTTTGCCCTCAGCTCCATCGCTGATGAAGTGCGGATCAAAGTCGTTTGTGATGTGCGCAAAGGCAGCTGTTGGCGGTATGGGCAGTGGATGCGGTGGACCATGTGGTGGGCCATGTGGTGCATGCGGACTGAACAGCGTCACAAAGAGATTCGCGTCCAGCTCTTTGTAGCCCAGCACATGGCGCTTGTGCCGAGTCACATTCGATCTGCGCGTTGTGTTGGACGTGGACATGGACGTGGGGGCAGCTGAACGTGCGCCATGGTGGGGCACAGTCTGTCTGTGCGTGGGTCGCACATCTACCATCTGGCGGGCCATCATAGGCAGCACGCTTATGCGAGCGCTGGGCAAATAGCCAGGCTTGGGAGTTATGGGATTGGAGTGCTTGAGCGGTGCCTGCAGCTTGCTAACGGGCAGACGCGAGACACGCGCCTTTTGTATGCGCAGAAAGGGTTCGGCATCCTCTTCGGCGACGAAGGCGGACACCAGCTCGGCTGCCTCATCCTCACCAGCGGCTGGCTCAGCGGCCTCAGCGGCCTCTGCAGCCTCAGCAGAGGTGCCGGCCTCTGTAGCCGCCTCTGTTGTTGTTGTCTCCGCTTCAGCTGCGGTTGTGGTTGTCTCCTCTGTTGTTGTGGTGGTCGTGGGCATGACTGTGGTGGTGACCGGCTCTGCGGTGGTGCTGGTAGGCAGCTCAGTTGCTGCTGTTGTGTCCACATCCTGGGGCGTGCTTGTCGGTGCCTGCATCTCCTCAGCCGTCGCATTGCCCGCCACGGTGCCATTGGCCACGCCCACTGTCATATTCGCTGGCGTCGACGAGGTCATATCGACACTCAGATCGTAGCCATAGAACATGAGCACAGTCTCGAAGTCCTTCAGCACGGTCACATTGCTGCGGCTCAGGCTGAGCCCCTTCAAGGGATTATCGGAGCCGAAGAAGTAGGTCTGCAAATAATGGAGCGCTTATCACAAATACTCATTGTACTAGAAGATCAGCAGATCAGATCTGCTGTGCTATGTCTATCAATTATAAATTCTATTCATGCCGAAAAATTCGGCCACTCATCGCAGATTGGGGTCAACGAACTGTCGAAAGCGTTTTAAGCCACAATTGGGCAGCGATAAGCAGAATTTGGAGCTATTGGCCGGCGGCACAATTCCGAATGATCTATTTGGTATCAATATGTTTAACACAAAGCGCCGCAGCATGACACGCATTGGTTTTATTTTCATTTATCAGTCGAATATTAGCCACTTTTTTCGAGTGGGAGTCAAGGGGAGTGGATGATGGAATGTGAAGCGAAGCATGGGAATATTTTTATTGTAGCCAAAAAACTGTGCGTGGGGTAGGGCTTACCCGCAGCCGTCGGTGTATGTCACGGTAGCCGACGCGTATGACGTCACGATTGCTGGGCAGCTGAAGCACATTGCGCAGCTCTGTGGCGCTCCTGGACGAGGAGCCCTCGTAGAGGGCCACCAGCACGCTGACCAGCGCCGTCGGCGAGAACGCAAAGTTATTGCGATTGAGTATGGAGTGGTAGTGGAGTAGCCGATGGGTCAGATCGTTGGTCAGATCGACCATCACCTCGGCCGGCGTCAGCTGCTTGGCCAGCACATGCGGCAGACGCTCCAGCTCCAGCGGCGTCAGTGCAGCTGGCGGCGGCGGTGGATGGGGATAGCCACTGGCCCGAAACTCTTCGTGATCGATTTGTATGTAGTGGGCGTGGCCGGGCAACAACAGCAGCCCCATCAGCCAAATCAGCCCAATCAAGCTGCACATCAGGTGTGCTCCGAAGGTCATCTTGGCTCTGACCTTGCACATTGATAAACGCGTTAACTGTTTTTAATTCAGTGTTATTAGTGGATGCTATTGTTGTTGCTGCTGCTGTTGTAAGTGTAACTGAAGCATGAAATCCGTTTAGCAAAAAATGTGGCAAATTCTGTGCGCGTTCATAAATTGCATTATTTTCGCCTCTAATTGAAAATGGTTAGCTCCAATTCAAGGTTCTCTAATTTTCTCCCAAACAATCAAGCGAACTGATCCCCACACATTTTCGTTTGCAATTGCTTTGGCAAACTTATTTATTTTATTTTGTAGTATGATTTAAGTTTACGATCCGCTCGCCCGACTGATTGCCGCGATTGCTGCCAAAGCACTAAACATTGTTGAACGCGCGGCGCATGGTCCAAACATCGATCCCAATCCGATCGATGTGTTCGGCAGCTGTGACGCTTTCGTGCGTGTTTCGGCATTATGGAAAAGAGACAACCCCCTCTATTGCCAGGGACCCGAGTCGGCCATAGCTGAATGGACCAAGACTATATCGTCTCTGGCAGTCAAGACCTCAAGATATTACTAGACACTACCAAGCTCATTCATAACTAGACATTTAAGCCACATACATTATGCAAATAACAGTAAGTATTAGCCCCACTGAGCTGTCACATTTTCCTTTATTGCCCTTTATCAACTCACGCATCTTGAATGCATTTCTCAAATTAATTTCCGTTCAGCTCAGCTCAGCTCTACACTGGTTAGTCGCCGGGAAAATGTCTTCGGGCAAGCACTTTATCTACGCGTGGATAACATATTTTCTAATGTCTTACGGCGTCGCTGCCTTCTACTTTGATGTTCGCACGGGCCAATTCAGAAAGTCGCGCGTAATGCGCATCTATGGTCGGATAATTTGTGCAACTATATTCTGTGCGCTCTGCCGGGTCAATATGATATATTGGAAAATGTACCCGATAATTCCTACGTACTCCAAACTTATGAAAGTCTTAGTCTATTCTCAGCCCTTAATCTCATTCATATCGTTTACGGCCTGCATGATCGGCTCTCAATTCAAGCAGCAGAGTATTCTTGGGATGTTTAAGGATCTCCTAAGGATAGACAATCTGTTAGCCGAAGCACACTTTTGCGTCACTCCAGCAAATAGATCATTTATGCTAAAGCTATACTGGGTCAGACTATTACTGGCGATAGTTCGAACAGCTCTATTTATGTCACGGGCAGTCATGGACATCAAAAATGTCATCCTTCATCTTAGCATCACTGGAGCACGAGTCGTATCGTGTGGATTCTTGTTCATGCAGTTCACCATCGTCTGGCACATCTGTTATTTTTTCTTAGGGATGCAACTGTACCTGGAGCGACTGTCAATTGAACCGATGTCAATGTCACGGAGAGTGCAGAAAGTTCTGGAGATGCACCGGATGTACTATAAGCTCATACAAATGATAAACAAATTCTGTGAGATTTTTAAGTACTCGCTGGCATTATCCTTGCTTCAGCTCGGATGCAACGCTTGCTTGACTGGATATTATTTCTTTCGTAAGCTGCTGGGAATTATCCAAAAACCCCATAGTCGTACCACAGAAGCGTTTTTGGTACTGATAAACGCTTCCAATGTGATGGAACTCTTAATTTTCGCCAATATAACCAATATGGTTTGTAAGCTACATGCTGAAACATTTCACATCCTACGCTCCTACAACTTTGCCTCGAAGCAATTGGAACGAAGTGTAAGAAAAGCATTTCAATGTTTTTT